TGCCTCTTACCTATTTAGCCCTTCCCCCTTCCATAATCCCTCCAGCAACCCTCTGTTTGTTCTCCATATTTAAGAGTCTCTTATGTTTTTGTCCCCCTCCCTATTTTAATATCATTTTTGCTCCCCTTCCTTTATGTTCATCTGTTTTGTATCTTGAAGACCTCATATGAGTGAAGTCATAGGATATTTGTCTTTCTCTAATTGACTAATTTCGCTTAGCACAATACCCTCTAGTTCCATCCACGTAGCTGCACATGGCAAGATTTCATTCTTTTTGATTGCTGAGTAATACTCCATTGTGTGTATACCACATCTTTATCTGTTCACCCATCGATGGACATTTTGGCCCCTCTCACTTTCAAAGTCAAATACTATGAAAGTCTGTTTCCTGTTCTTTCTGGCTCCCTCCCTGCCACAGACATTCATGGTCTGTTTCACTTCCAGACCATGGCTTTGCCCTTGCTACCTTCTTCGATGTGGCCTCTTCCCTACCTTAAGTTGTAAAGTTTGTTCTGCTGGTCCTAAGCTCATCCTCTGCGTTATTTATACTGATGTGAATGTTACCTGATTGTAACTGTGGGATACGGTGAGCCTAGGATCCTCCTACTCTGCCATTTTCCCAGCAAAACTATTTCTTGAATTACAGTACTGATAACTTATGTTTATAGTATGACTATAACCTATGGCAATAATGATGATGATGATGATGATGATGATGATGATGATAGCAGTTAATGTTTATTGGCTTTTGTTTGTTCCAGACTTTGTGCTATTTATTTTAAATATGTGGTCTTATCTTTATTAAAATTTTACTGGTGAGGGAATTTGGGCTTTGACCCAGGCTACCTGAATTCAAACCCTCTACCTAATCTATCCTTCCTTCCTTCCTTCCTTTCTCTCTTTCTCTCTCCCTTCCCTACACTTCCCTTCCCTTCCCTACCCTTCCCTTTCCCTCCCCCACCTGTCCCTCCGTCGCTCTCCCCCATCCCTTCCTTCCCTTCCTGCCTTTCTATTTAAAAATATTTTATTTTTAAGCAATCTCTATACCCAGCGTGGAGCTTGAACTCGCAACCCAAGATCAAGAAGCTGCACACTCCACTGACTGAGCCAGCCAGGCACCCCATCCATCTCGCTTTCTTGCCAAGTTCTCTTTTTCCATATTTGCAAGACCTTTTTTTCTCTCTTTCTCTCACAGAGTGTTTTGTCTCTTCACGGTTAGTTCTTACTGAGTTTAATAAGCATTTACATGACCTTGTCTCTAACTTAATCTCTTACAAGTGTATAGCACTAGACTAGTACAAAGAAACCTGAGTTCCACTGACTCTTTTAACTTAAATGCAATCCGTTCACCACCGATACATTGTCCGTCAGAAGGAAAGGTTTGTAGTAAACCTCCAAAATCCTTTCCAATTAGTTTTCCCAGCAAGTTGGCATTTTAAAAATCTGTAATACCTGCTGAGCCTCACTCAGGGAGCTTTCTCAAAGCATACGTGACCTTGTTCCCTTCCTGCCTAGAGTATATTGTGATTGCAAGCTCATCCTCTTTCTGTACCCTGTTGAAAATTATATATAAGTAGATTTTAATTAGTATGTTAACTACTAAACTTCTGAAGGGGGAGAAAATAGGTAGAAGCAATTCACACTTATAGAGTACCTGCTCCGTACAGGTACTGCGCTAAATACTGCATAATACCTTACTTACTCTTCTAAACAACACCATGAAGTAGGTATTGGAATCTTCATTTATTTTGGCTTTTTGAAGTTTGCATGTTTTAAAGAAAGATGAGTTCATATGTTTCCATAGCTCCATACTAGTGTGTGTGTATAAATACTTCATATTTTTGCTTGTTTATTCCCCATTACTGTTTGTTCTTCATTACTGAAAATTTGTGTTGTTTTCTTTCTTTTCTTTTTTTTTTTAATTTGTTTTGTTTTCAAATACTTCCAAGGAACATCTTGGTATAAACTTATTATATATGGTATTTACCAAGGCCTAGTAGACTTACAGTATTTGTTGACTAAATAATTTCAGAAATGACCAAGATGGATAGTTGAAATACTCTAATGGTTTGAAATATATTTCCATATTCCTTTCTGAAAAGATTGAACAAAGTTACAGTGTCACTAGTAATGTATTTGTATATATCCCCATATTGAATATAGATTTTCTGATAATTCCTTCACTATTTAAAAAGCACCTAGGGGTGCCTGTGTGGCTCAGTTGATCTCGGCTTAGGTCATGATCGTACGGTTATGGAGCATGGAGCCTTCTTGGGATTCTTTTCTCCTTCTTGCTGTACCCCTCTTCCCCCCGCCAATAAATAAATGTTAAAAAAATAAATAAAAAGCACCTAGCTTTTCTATTCCTTGGTGTGAAAAATATTAGTTATTATTATAGATTTGATTGAGTTTTTAATGTGATTGTTACTAATTATAGAACCTAGAACATTTATGGGAAGAATTTCTTAAGGTTTGTTTAGTAAAAGAAATTGCTTATTGCATTTTCTGGCTGTTTTGATTCTAAAAGTTCATTGCCCTATTTTGTCCTTAATTTGAGGTAGTCTGGCTTCTATCATTCCACTAATATATTTCCTACTAAAATAACCAGTCATCTCTTAAATGGCCAATCCAGTGGGAGTGTTCAAAACTATCTTTCTTCATGTCTGTTGTATTCATTGTTGTTGATCATCTTCCCCTTCCTCAAACTTTGTAAAATTTCAGTTAAAGCACCTCTCTTTTGTTTCTCCTGCTTCTCTCCAGGATGAGGTTCCTTCTTTGTACCCTCTGGTTTGTGATCTGCCATGAACCATCTTTGTTCCTCTTTTCGACTCTTCTTTACATTCTTTCTAATCAATATTATTTTTGTTCATGGCTTCTGTTAATTCCAGATAGCTTCCTCATCTATACTTTCAACTCAGATTTCTCTTTGTGCTTTAGATGCAGAGATACAGCTGTTTGCCAGATAGCTCAAGGCACTGCATTTTCAACAACTACTAAATGAGTTTATCTTCATTTAGCAACCTGCTTCTCCTATATTCTCCTTCTTTGTAAATGTTTTCCAAAAGCTCAAACCAGAATCTTGGGTGTTATTTTTTTATTCCTTGTATTCTTTTGCCCTTTAGATATATTTCATCCTTGTTCCTTCTTCTTTCAGCCATATTTAGTAATAATTGTAGTAACTTCCTCCCAATCTTCATGCCTTCATTTTGAGCTTTTTAAGCATTCCACCCTCAAGTCAATGTGAAATTTGTAAAATTTTTTCTGAGTAGGTCTCACCTTTTGGCAGTCCTTCAAGGTTATCACCCAGGATCTAGGGAACCAAGCTAGTATACTGAATAATAATAATAACATCATAATAACTTCAAGAACATATGAGATCCAGAATCAGCATTCTTAAAGGCTGAGTTATTCCATTTCAACCAGATTTTATGCCAGATCATGGGATACGTTCTAAATACACATTTCATGTACGGCTGTACCCAACAACCTCTTCTCTTCTCTAGTTTCATCTTTAGCCACTGTTCCCCTCATAACTTAGTCTTTAGATATGCCATTCTTTTTTTTTTTTATTTTAATTTTTAATGTTTATTTATTTCTAGGAGGGAGGGGGAGAGAGAGAGAGAGAGAGAGCATGAGCAGGGGAGGGTCAGAGAGAGAGGGAGACACAGACTCTGAAGCAGGCTCCAGGCTCTGAGCTGGCAGTCAGCACAGAGCCCGACGTGGGGCTCAAACCCACGAACCGCGAGATCATGACCTAAGCGAAAGTCGGACGCTTAACCGACTAAGCCACCCAGGTGCCCCTAGATATGCCATTCTTAAGGAATTCATTACTTACTTTAATTTTAAGTAGGCTTCATGTCTAACATGGAGTTTGAACTCACAACCCTGAGATCAAGAGTCACACGCTGTACCAACTGAATGACACCCCCATACTTAAGGAATATTTTAGGGGAGCACCTGGTGGCTCAGTCAATTAAGCATCCGACTTAGGTTCAGATCATGATCTCATGGTTTGTGAGTTTAAGCCCCGCATTCAGCTCTGTGCTGACAGCTCAGAACCTGGAGCCTTTGGATTGTGTGTCTCCCTCTCTCACTGCCCCTCCCCTGCTCGCTCACGCTCTCTCTCTCTCTCTCTCTCTTTCTTTCTCTCTCTCCCTCTCTCTCAAAAATAAACATAAAAAAATAGATTTTTCTTTAAGTATGCTCTAGATATGCCATTCTTGAACTCAATGTACCCCCTCATTTTTCTGTGTGCTTTGGCTATGATAAATTTCTCTCTTAAATCCCTTTTCTATCCTTAATCACCTAAGTATTTTATTTGTTCTAGTCTCCGTTCAGTCAAGCCTAATTCCCCACACAATTAGATTTAGTTCCTTGCTGCTTTGAGCAATCCTTTTTTGTACCTCTATGTGATATACTGAAGTATTTATCTTGTCTTTTAACATTTTGCTTCCCCACTAAGTTCCTTCAGTACAGGGATCTTTTTAACACAGTGCTGAGCATGGTGCCTGACACATAGTTTGAATAAACATGTATTGAAATGAATTTCAGATAAGTAGATATGCCTGAGTATACTGGTATGACCAGATACATCCACTAAAATACCATATTTGAAATCATCATAGAAATTTCAAGTAAGGGGCACCTGGTGGCTCAGTCAGTTAAGCGTCGGAAATCATCACTCAGGTCATGGTCTTACAGTTTGTGAGTTTGAGCCCTGCAGGCTGTCTGCTGTCAGTGTGGAGCCTGCTTTGGATCCTCTGTCCCCCTTTCTCTGCTCCTCCCCCACTTGTGTGCACACAGTCTTTCTCTCTCAAAAATAAACAAATATTTAAGAAAAAGAAATTTCAAGTAAAACAAAAAATAATCTGAACAGTGAGCTGCACTACTATCTTAGCTTTGTTCTGCTAATTATACTATGTCTCTAACCAGTATGATAACTAAGGGAGAAGGTATAAGTAAGTCTGAAATTGACAAATTAATATACATTTGATTTCTAGGCTGGTGAATCAGAGACTTCTGGAAGTACAGTCACAAGTTGAAGAACTGCAAAAATCTTTACAGGATCAAGGCTCAAAAGCAGAAGATGTGAGTTTTTAGTATGTACCGAGCATGGTCCAGCAGTTTCACAATGTTAAGAAAACCTATCACTTTTATTTTTTATTTGATTGGTCTCTGTCAAAATAATTTATAATTATATTGGTTATAGAAAAAAAGCAGTGTATTCCTTTTACTAATATTCCTTATGAAAAGGACCAGACAGTACTTCATTGTCTGTTTTAGAATCCTTCTGCTGGGAATTAGAAGTTTTTTTGTAGTTATTAACTAAGGAATTCATTAAGGCTTTGTGGGGTTTTTGTTTGTTTGATTTACAAGGTAGGAAAACCAGGATTTTTTTTTTTTTTAAGTTTTTGTTTATTCGTTTAAGTTAGATACATCCATCGTGGGGCTCAAACTCAGGACCCTGAGATGTAGGGTCACATGCTCTCCCAACTGAGCCAGCCAGGCTCCCTGAGTCTTTGTGTTTTACCTGTACTCATCTCAGTATTCAGAGTCCAGGGTTTTCCCTCTGGTCAACAACAAGAGAAATGCTGGTACAAATTTAATATGTTCAAATAGAAATTTTTTATGTATAATTGATATTTTGAAAAATAATGTCATCCCTAGAAATAACTACCTCTGGATTTCTGAATCCCTCCTTACTATCCCCAGCCCTGCCTCACTCAAATATAAGTTCCTGACCTTTTCTGAATATTCTCTTATACTCTGCATGTCTGTCATAGCCTTGCCTGCTTGACTGGCACGCTCACTAGAATATCATAAATGCATTGATCCGGCACTGAGCCAGGAACTAGATGGACTTTCATCTTCTCATGCTCACACTCGATCACAATGCTTCTGTGGCACATGATAGTCTCTGATGAAAGTGTAAATCAATTAAATTTTCCAAATCCTTTACATTTAATATACAATATTATGCAATATTGTATACTGTATACGATAGAAGTACAGCTATAAAGTTCTCAAAAATAGTTTAAAGAGGGGAATAAACCCTAAATTTTAATGACCAATCTTTGCGTCAGACAGTTGGTTCTTTTTTATTATTGGTGGTGTAATTTGCTATAAACTCTGGCCTTTGAGTATAAACCTACACAGTTGTTTCCATTGATAAGTCTTTTTGGAGACTTGATGTCAGAACAAAGTGATGTCTTCAGTGAAATCATTAGGTCCCTTAAACTGAGGTAAAGGTAGACTTTGTTTTGGTCTCCAAAACTTTAAGGAGACTTTTTTGATTTGTTATGGTAGAAAGGGGAAGGGCGTGTGGTACATAGGAAGTAGGAGTGGCAGAACACGAGTATCAGCTCTACCTTAGTGTTAGAGCAATAGCCGTTGTACTTGCCTGCTTCTCTTACTCGTATTAGAGCACATAGAAGGAATTTATTCTGTAAAAAGTAATTTTGTGTAGCCTGATTTAGGTATCACATTTAATTAAATATGCTCTGGGCCATCACTTTAAGAGAACATTTTTCAGAAGTGAGATGCTGGCCCTGAAAGTAGTATTTGCATAAGTTACTCCATTTATTTGACTGCCCAGATTCTAAATGTCTTCCTCTAAATTAATTCTTAGAGATTTCCTCCGAGTTCCTGTTTAAATAGGAACTTTCTTTAGTCTGATATGCCTCAAAATGGTGTGAAGAAATAGTGTGGTTCTTTCCACCAGCAAATGTTTGATGTCTTTGTGTTCTCTTTCACTGACCTACAGCGTTGCATCTCAGGAGTATATAGTATGTAGAGCAACCTGCCCAGTGGAACTGGTCCTCTCTGAAGAACATTATAATATCTGCCTATTTCTGTTATCAAAAGCATAGTCCTTTCATGTGATCTTAAGTCAGAGTAGGATGGTTTACACATTTTTATTATTATTTTTATGTCATTTATTTTTAGCATGGAAGCAGAAAAGCATTGTTATGTCCAGTCATATGGATAATTTGAGCTAGCCACATTGTATAAAACTCAAGAGAACAAGACAGGATGAGGAGACCATAGAAGAAAGAAAAATGTACATTTTTGAAAAAAAATGCCTAACTTTTACTTCTGTTCATGAATTACTAAATCGTTCCTTCTGTTGGCTGCTGTGTTTGCTTCATACTAATATGTCCTCTCTGTCTCTTGGCATGGTTTCTGCTCAAAAGGCTATTGTAAGTATGGCTTCCTATTCATTTCTATATATTGAGCAATTTTTTGATTTATATACATTCTCTTCCATCACGGTTGATGGTATTAAATTTTTAAATGATGCAAATTTTATGGAAAATGAATATATCACTATTGCCTTACAGGTTTATGCCCTTTACACTTAAGATATTTAAAAGGATATTGAAAATAAGTCAAACCAAAAAACCTCTGCTCTCATTTTTTTCCCCCATCCCACTCCTGTTCTACCCGCTTTTATAAATTATATTATATTGAAGCTATTTTCCTATGGCCTCTGGCCTCCTGCCACCTACTTGAATAGTAACTGTCTTCTCCATGCTGGAAAGACATGGAAATAAAGACCATCCATAAACTTTGGAATCTGGCCAACCTGGAGTTTTTTGGGGTTTGGTTTGGTTTTGGGTTTTTTTGTTTCTTTGTTTTTTTTCAGACCTGGGTTTTAATTTTGGGTCTGCCACTTGAAATTACTCCACGTCTCCCCATCTCCCCTCCCTCACCTATAAGATGGGGCTATTGCTCACGTTGTAAGATTCACATGAGACTGCACGTGACATACTGTAGCACATTGCCTGGTATACTAACCATTCATGAGGTAATTATCGTGTACTGATAATTACTGATAATTAAAACTGATTTTGCTAGATTCCAGGCAAAATGTAAATGCAAAATTATAAAGTATTTAGAAAGTATTTTCATTTTACCCTCTGTATGAAAGAAGGAACAAGCGATAATTGAAAGTTAACAGGTTATTCCCTTCTTTTTATATTTGGGGGAAGCACTGCTAGAGGACCTTATAGCCCACTTATCTTGCTCTAGTTAATATACTGAGCAAAGAAGTAAATTTGATAAATTCCAGAGCTGTTTCAATGGACTTGAAAGAACAATTACAGTAATCGTTATTAAATAAGGTGACTGAAAATCAAAGAACTTAATGGGAGGCTTTTTCTCCCCATCACTGCTGCTATTGACTGATTGGACAGTTTGATTTATAAGCCTATATTAACTGGGTTTGGCTGAATTTATCTCAAAATGGAATGTTTCATAGAATTCATTAATAATATATACTCTACAAGTGTTAAGCTTGATTATGAAATCTAGTGGTCCTACATAGAATGCCATTATTTTTTGTTTTTAGGTCAATTCTGATCTCCTGCTTTTTAGGAGATTTTTTTTAAATACCCAGCAAAAGCTGCGTCTTCAGTCCATTAAATTCTGTGCATACGCCATCCTTCACATTCCCATACCATCACATAAATTATTTGTGTACATATTCAGAAATCTCAGAGTGAGTCATTATTTATGGAAGTTGATCCCAGTATCTATCATGATGCAAGGAAAATAATACAGTAGATAAAGAGTATGTTAGGGAAAAATCTGTTATTATTTTTTAAAAGTTTATTTTTGAGACACACAGAGAGAAAGAGAGAGCGTATGCGTGCAGACAGGGAAGGGGCAGAGAAAGGGAGACAGAGGATCTGAAGCAGGCTCTGCACTGACAGCAGAGAGCCTGATGTGGGGCTTGAACTCACAAACCATGAGATCATGACCTGAGCCAAAGTCAGATGCTTAACCGACTGAGCTACCCAGGCACCCTGGGAAAAAATATTACAATTCCTAGAGTTCTGTCTACCTGCCTGTTGAATCCAGGAATATTAGGTCTATATATAAGTGGCCTTCTTGGTCATTTCTTCCTGACTATAGAGATTTCAGATATGCAGTTTCTGAGTATTTTATACCGATTGCTATCACTCAGGGGCTATTCTGTCTCTAATCAAAAGGAAATAGACATAGGTACATTGTGTGTTTTGAGCTCTTTAACCAGAGAACTTACTGAGAATTTATTCAGAGTTGGTTACTACTGTATTGTTTTTTTAATAATTAATATATTAGTTAAAATGTTAAATAAACTTCTTTTATTTTCCATTTTCAGTCAGTTCTTCTAAAAAAGAAGCTTGAAGAACATCTGTAAGTATAAAAGCTGTTGAGTGTCACTATCCTATTCTCTAGTGAAATAGAAGTATTTTGTTAGGTGGTTACAGGGTGTCTAGGCAATGGCCCAAGTAGCCTCTGAAGGTAGGGGAAAGTATAAGACATGTTAATATTTATAGCATCTAAAGGGTCTTCTCAATCCAAGGTGCTTAAATCAAAGCAGTTACTGCTTTAGAACTGTTTTCTCAAAGAAGGTTCTAAGGTTCTATGTCTTCATGATAGAATTTATAACTGTAGTTAAGAGTTTGAGACACTCTAGATTAGGAGGCAGAAACCTTTTTCTTTATTTTTTTTTTAATTTTTTTTTATATATTTTTATTTATTTCTAGGAGAGAGAGACAGCGTGAAGAGGGGAGGGCCAGAGAGAGAGGGAGACAGAGACTCGGAAATAGGCTCCAGGCTCTGAGCTGGCAGTCAGCACAGAGCCCAACGCGGGGCTCGAACCCATGAACAGCGAGATCATGACCTAAGCGAAAGTTGGACCCTTAACCGACTAAGCCACCCAGGTGCCCCAGAAACCTTTTTCTTTAAAGGGCCAGATAGCTGTTACCTTAGGCTTTGCAAGCCATGGTCTGTGTCACACCCACTTAGCTCTGTAATTTGAAAACAGCCATAGATTGACTATAAACTGATGTTGTGACTGTTCCAATAAAACTTTATACAAAAATAGGAAGCAGGCTGAATTTGGCCCTAGAGTATAGCCAGCTGAGTCTTTCTTTTTAAGTAAAATTTTAAAGTAGTACAAAGCTTATCAGTAGCAGATTTTCAGACATTTCCTTGAATTGCAAGTATATCTGAAAGTGACTTTTTAATCTAAAAATGAAATAAATTAAAAAAAATTATAATGGGGCGCCTGGGTGGCTTAGTCGGTTAAGCGTCCGACTTTCAACTTTCGCTTGGGTCATGATCTCGCAGTTCGTGGGTTCGAGCCCCGCATCGGGCTCTGTGCTGACTGCCAGCTCAGAGCCTGGAGCCTGTTTCAGTCTGTGACTCCCTCTCTCTCTGACCCTCCCCTGCTCACGCTGTCTCTCTCTCCTAAAAATAAATAAAACATTAAAAAAAAAAATATTTATTTATTTTGAGAGCGAGAGAGAGAGACAGAGTAAGCAGGTGAGGGACCGAGAGAGGAAGAGAGAGAATCCCAAGCAGGCTCTGCACTATTAGCACAGTTCCTGATGTGAGTCTTGAGCTCACGAACCATGAGATCATGACCTGAGCAAAAATGAAGAGTTGGAGGTGTAACCAGATGAGCCACCCAGGAGCCCCTAATTTTTTTTTTTAATATGGGAAAAGTGAGATAATCCTAGCAGTGGACACTTGCTGGCAAGTCTAATAATGGGCAGATTCTTAATGTACTAGTAGAACAGAAAATGGTATCTTCTAGCCATTCTGAGGTTACCTAGAGCCTGATTTCTGTCCTATTCTCTTTCCCATTTCTTTATTGCAAAAAAAGTGGAATACCTGTTAGTTCATAAAACTGACCATTGTTCTGTGTTCATTTATATGGTAAATATCTTAATCAAAAAGAATTTACTAGTGATAATGAGGCCTACGTTGGTTTCTTGTGGCTGCCGCAACAAATTACTACAGTCTGGGTGGCTAAGAAAAGCAGAAATTTATCCTCTACCAGTTCTTGAGGATAGAAGTCTAAAATCAAGGAATTAATTCCTTCTGGAGGTTCTAAGGGAGGATCTGTTCCATGCCCCTCTTCATGATGGCGACTAGCAGTCCTTGTTGTTCCCTGGAGTATAGACGCATCACTGTATCTCCATCTTCACGTGACATTCTTCTCTCTGTCTATCTTGTCTTCCCATGGCCTTCTAATAAGGACATTAGTCATTGGATTTAGGGCCCACCCTGATCTACTACGACCTCATCTTAACTAATTATATCTGCAAAGATGCTGTTTTCAAATGATGTCACATTCACAGGTACTAGAAGTTAAGACCTTCACTATATCTTTCTTGGGAGATACACTTAATCCACAACAGAGTCCATAGACATTTCTTTTTATGTTTTATTTATTTCTAGGAGAGAGAGAGACAGCGTGAGCAGGGGAGGGTCAGAGAGAGAGGGAGTCACAGACTCTGAAACAGGCTCCACGCTCTGAGCTGGCAGTCAGCACAGAGCCCGATGCGGGCCTCGAACCCACGAACCGCGAGATCATGACCTAAGCGAAAGTCGGACGCTTAACTGACTAAGCCACCCAGGCGCCCCAAGAGTCCATAGACATTTCAAATGGTCATTCTTATGTACATTTATATCCACAATGGGGAGGCTATTTTACACATTCTAAGTTGGTAAAATTTAAAAGTCCAACATACTAAGAATTGCCAAAGGTGTTCAGTAATGGTAATTCCAATCCACTGTGGTAGGAGTATACATTGATTTACTTCGTAAACTGAACATACACCTATCCTGTGACCCAGCAGTTCTGCTCCCTGTATATACCCTATATTCCTAGAAATGCTCTTATCCATCTATCAGGAGACATATAGAAGAACGTATGAAAGGACATTGTAATCACAGAAAAGTAGCAACAATACAAATGCCACCAATTGTAAAATGATAGCTAGAATGAAGTAAATTCAAACAGTGTGGTAAAATATGTAACTTAGGGCTAACACATCAACATACGTGAGTCTTGAGAGCATAGTGTTAAATAAAAGATGGAAGTCACAGAGCAATACATACAGTGTAGTGTATAAAGTAAAATCGGGCAAAATTCAGTAGTATATTATCCTAGAATACACACAAAGTATCATCACAAAAATCATGAGAAAAATTAAAATTCTGGACTTGGGTTCCCTAAGGTTCTGTGATAATTTGTTTCATAACCTGTTTCTTTACTGGGCTTACATTTTTTATTCTTTAAACTCTATATGTTTATTTTTTATCTAGATATATTCTCAAAGAATTTGTTTGAAAGATACCAATTTATTGAAGTATTATACATAGAAAAAAAACAAGAATAGACTTAACGTAATGCTGTTGTTACCTTTTTTTCTTTGTTTTCCAGTTTGTGCAGCCTTTTTTCCCTCTCGTATTATAAAGTGCCACACTAAGTACTTTATAGAGAGAATTATGCATATTATATAACTACCAGGAAGAAACTTATTACTTTCTGTTCACTTTTTACATTTATTTTGGAATATAACGTATATAAAGTACACAAATTCTAAGTTCCTAAGTCTAAAGCTTGATGAATGTTTTCCTACAATATCAAGGTAACCCAGGTCGACATGTAGAATACTTTCAGCAAATCCCCAGACTCTTGTTTTCCCTTCTAATTGATTCCATCCCCAAATTAGCCACTATGCTGCTCTCTTACAACCTTTCATTAGTCTTGATACTTTCCGAACTTCATGTAAAAGGAATCCTGGAAGGGCACCTGGGTGGCTTAGTTGGTTAAGTGTCCGACATCGGCTCAGGTCATGCTCTTGCAGTTTATGAATTTGAGCCCCACATCAGGCTCTATGCTGACAGCTCAGAGCCTAGAGCCTGTTTCGGATTCTGTGTCTCCCTCTCTGTCTGACCCTCCCCTGCTCATGCTGTCTCTATCAAAAATAAATAAAACATTAAAAAAAATTTTTTTGAAAGGAATCCTACAGTATTATCCTTTTGTATCTGACTCACTGTGGTCACCATTATTCTGTGATATCTATCCTGGTGGGTTCATGTACCAATTCTTTTTTATTGGTGTGTAGTGTTCTTTCTATTAATTTTTATTTTTAGAACTTTACTTTTTGGAATAAGATTGTGCATTGTAAAACCTCTGTAGAGTTTTAATTTTTATAATATCCTTACGCCTAGAAAAAAATGAAGATCACTAAATTCTTTGTACCCTCTTGTGCATGTTTCTGTAAAAGAAATGATAACGTTCAAAGTCTGAGATTTTTTGACTCTATTTTTTTTTTACCTATTTTGTGTGTGTTTTAATTTTTATGTTGAATTGGACTTTTTATCCTTTTTTGTTTCGTAACATTTGTGTGCTATGCAAGTGTATCCCAAGAATAAAGAACTTAGATCTTTCAAGTGGAGTAAAGCACAAAACAGTAGGTGACAATGTGTTATATGTTTTGTTGCAGGGAGAAGCTGCATGAAGCCAATAATGAATTGCAGAAGAAAAGAGCCATTATTGAAGATCTTGAGCCACGATTTAATAACAGCTGTGAGTTTTTCCTAATTAGCATAGTTTTTAATTGAAGTATAGTTGACAGATTATATTACCAATTAGCATAGTTTTAATTGGTTAGCCGTACATTACCCTACTGATGAGTTTATATAAAATTGTTTCTATCATAAATAAGGTCCTGTTACATATTCTAGCAACTAAAGAGTTTGTCTTATTTACAGAAAGAGTATGTAAACATCGTCAAAGTGATTCTAATTATACTTTTGAGTTTTTCCTCAACTGTGGATGCTAATGAATATTTTATGAAATTAGCTGTTTAAATAGTGAAGTTACCTGTAGGTTAACCAAGTTTTTACTGCTTTTGATATTTATACATGTAGATGACCTGACTTTATTAATTCTTTTGTGTGGAGCAGGACACAGACTTTTTCTCCCCCCCACTGTGGTAAAATGTCTATCACATAAAAAATGACCAATTTAGGGGCGCCTGGGTGGCTTAGTCGGTTAAGCGTCCAACTTTCGCTTAGGTCATGATCTCGAGGTTTGTGGGTTTGAGCCCCGCTTCGGGCTCTGTGCTGACTGCCAGCTCAGAGCCTGGAGCCTATTTCCGAGTCTGTGTCTCCCTCTCTCTCTGACCCTCCCCTGCTCACGCTGTCTCTCTCTCTCCTAGAAATAAATAAAAATATTTATTAAAAAAAAAAATGACCAATTTAACTTTTCTTAGTTATATATAGTTCAGTGGTATTAAGTACATTCACACTGTTGTGTAGCCACTATTTCCAGAACTGTTTTGTCCTCCCAATCTGAAACTTTGTGCCCATTAAACACTGACTCCCCACCCCCTCCCGCCCCCCACCCATCTTCCCAGCCCCTGGGAGTCACTATTCTACTCTCCTCTGTGAGAATGGGACTCCTGTAAGTAGCTCATTTAAGTAGAATCCTACATTTGTACTTTCATGTCCCGCCTACTTCACTTAATGAAATGTCTTCCATTTTCACTTCTCTCGTCTCCATGTTATAACACAGATCAAAATTTAAGCTGAATAACACTTGATTTTACATATTGACCACATTGTGTTTATCCACTTGTCATCAGTGGATATTTTTTAATTTATGCATTTCACTACTGAAGTTTCTATTTATTTATAAGAAAAGGTTTTCATAAGAACAAAACATTTTGAATTTTTAAAATTATATATAGGACCAGACCAGTCTCTCAAAGCAGTTAACTGTTTTGTCAGGTGAAATATTTTTAAAGTTGTTACAATCTAAAAAAAATTTTTTTCTTTTTTTAATTCTCTCATCTATAGCCTTAAAGATTGAAGAATTACAAGAAGCTTTACGAAAGAAAGAAGAGGAAATGAAGCAAATGGAAGAACGATATAAAAAATACTTAGAGAAAGCCAAAAGTGTCAGTATGACTTTCCAGGCATCTCACTCCACTTTCTTCTTCTTTAATGTTTATTTATTTTTTATTTTTTTACTGTTTATTCATTTTTGAGAGAGGGAGACACAGAATTCCAAGCAGGCTCCAGGCTCTGAGCTACCAGCTCAGAGCTGATACAGAGCTCCAACTCACGAACTGTGAGATCATCTCCTGAGCCGAGTCGGTTGCTTAACCAACTGAGCCACCCAGGTGCCCCATAACTGTTTGTTTATTTTTGAGAGAGAAAAAGAGTGAGCAGGGATGGGACAGAGAGAGAGAGGGACAGAGGATCCGAAGTGGCTCTATGCTGACAGCCGGCAAGCCCAGTATGGGACCTGAACCCACAAACCATGAGATCATGACCCGAACCGAAGTTGGGCACTCAACCAGCTGAGCCACCCAGGTGCCCCTCCGCTTTCTAATCATGTTTCATTTGTCATCCAGTTTAGTGCATGTACAGTGACTTCTCACACCAAAAGCTATCAGAAGAAGAAAAGAAATCTTTGACAAAGAAAAAGCACAAGGAAGAAGTAGCGATCAAATTAGGTCACCCCACAGAGTAGTTACTAATTACTAAAGGAAGATGTTATTTTATGTAGAAAATAAGTGGCAGTCACCTCCTTAAGTAATCAAAATTAGCTATACTAGGGGCATCTGGGTGGCTCAGTTGGTTGAATGTCCGATTTCGGCTTAGGTCATGATCTCACAGTCTGTGAGTTCGAGCCCTGCTTCAGGCTCTGTGCTGACAGCTCGGAGCCTAGAGCCTGCTTCAGATTCTGTGTCTCCCTCTCTCTCGGCCCCTCACCCGCTCACTTTCTGTCTCTCAAAATAAAGACATAAAAAAGAAAAGCTACACTAATGGTAGGACAATCAACATCTTATGCCTCCTGATGGAGTATCATTGTCATAATAATATTTAACCTAAATCTAAGCAACCTGTTAGACCTAACTCAGTTCCCAGGGAAAATGAGATTATTGGAACAAGTTAAATAATACCTTCAAGAAGTCATCAGATAAATCAAGAATTGGGGATAAAAGTTAATGTTATGAAAAACCAAAATAGGCATTGGAGTATGGGAGAGGACAAGAGTCTGTTCTAATTTAAAAGAGCCCAAAGGGATCAAAGTACCAAGTGTAATGCATTAATCTTTGGGTCCTGTGTTGCTGGTGGAAGGAGCAGTTATAAAAGACATTTTGGAGACATCTGTGGAAATGTGGATTTGGAACCCATAGTGATGACTTCTAGAATTGTTCTTTTTCTTATAGATGATGATGGTCTTGTGATTAGGTAAGATAATATCCTTAGTCTAAGAAGACATATGCTTCAACTAAGTTGAAGTATTTAAGGGTTACGTGTTATGAAGTCTGTAGATTATTTTATTCTGTGTTTTTAATTTTTATTTTATTTTAGAGAGAATCTTAAGCAGGATCAATGTTCAGCACAGAGCCTGACACAGGGCTTGATCCCATAACCCTGGGATCATGACCTGAGCCAAAATCAGGAGTTGGATGTTCAGCCGAGCCACCCAGTCACCCCATGCTGATTACTTTAAAATAGGCTTCTAGGGGTTCCTGGGTGGCTCATTCGGTTAAGCGTCTGACTTCTGCTCAGGCCATGATCTCACAATTTATGGGTTCAAGCCCCACATTGAGCTCTCTGATTGGAGCACAGAGCCTGCTCTGGATCCTCTGTTTCTCTCTCTCTCTTATAAATAAAATAAAGATTAAAGGGGGGGAGGGGACTCCCAAAAAAGCGTGTGTGTGTGTGTGTGTGTGTGTGTATAGAGAAAATGTGCGGTACAGCAGTTGGTGAATTGAGGTTAAAGTAAATGGGTTTTTATTGTTCCTCTGTTTCAAGTTTTCTGTAGGTTTGATCAGTTTTGATAGTAAAAATATTGGGCCACAAAGCAAAAAGACCTTTCCCCGAAGACTGCTGGTAGACCAGCTAGAAATGCATCACATGCCCGAGCCACTGGCAGAGGAGGCGACTGAGTCACAGTGATAGGCTTTTAAACCATCAGAATCAGCTCTATCAGAGAGAGACGGTAGCTAAGCCACATTTGAAGAAAGGAAAAGGGTAGACAGCCGTCAGTAATGTGTGTTGTAGTATTATTTGTTTTAAGCCAGAATTACTACTTAAAATTGATTCTTTACATAGATAAAAAGTTTTATATAATTGAGAGCTACAATAATTGAATATTATTTCATTCATTCAAATTTTTAAAGTATCCTTGTAAGATAGCTTTATGATTCTGACAAGGTTCGTCCTTGATTTTTTTTTTCTTTTATATAACTGCTTCCTTAGATGTTACATTCTTTTAAGTTTGAAACTTCAAATTTTTTTCTCTTATTCCTTTTTGCAGGTTATCCGTACTTTAGATCCTAAGCAGAATCAAGGAGCAGCACCAGAAATACAAGCTCTTAAAAATCAGCTCCAGGAACGGGACCGATTGTTCCATTCTTTAGAGGTAGGTAGTTCACTATACTGTACAATGAGATATTTGACTTTTGATTCTTTATTTTCTAGGAGCCTTGCTATATACAACTGTGTCCATGAATTTAGCTAATTATATTTTATTACTATTGTTTTTCATCTTTACATGTTTACATGTGCTTGTTTTTTTAGAAAGAATATGAGAAAACCAAGAGTCAAAGGGAAATGGAGGAGAAGTTTATTGTTAGTGCCTGGTACAATATGGTAAGGAAATAACACTTCAAAGCATATTGCAAAGTTCAGTGAATATTTAATAATTATTATACTACCTTTATTGTAGAAATAATTCTACCAAATGAATCTGAAAGTAATTGCTATCCTAACACACACTAACAAAACCTAATACTGATCTTAGGACTGAAAAGCAGAAATGAGAACCACTGTAAACAGGATCAGGACGTTTTGAACACATCATTATTCCTACAGGATATAAAGATAAATGGCAGTTTGATTTCTGCCCCTCAGTACCATTTTGTTCTTGGGGAAGGGGACTTCGGTAACCTCTAAACACAGAAGCAGTAGCTTTTGTTTTGTGCAATGATTTCATTACCTTTGCAGGACAGCAGCATTCTGGGCTTCGGTAAGCCTTTCTGGATATGAATAGCTGTGAATTTTGAAGAATGCTGTACTTTTTTCAGTATTTTGTCCTAGACTGGTCTTTTCTTCTTTGTTTTTCTTCCCAACAAGACCACTTCTGCCTTGGGGCGCCTGGGTGGCTCAGTCGGTTCAGCATCCGACTTCGGCTCAGGTCATGATCTCACAGTTTGTGGGTTCGAGCCCCACATCGGGCTCTGTGCTGACAGCTAGCTCAGAGCTTGGAGCTTGTCTTTGGATTCTGTGACTCCCTCTCTTTCTGACCCTTCCCTGCTCACCCTGTCTCTATCTCTCTCTCAAAAATAAATAAAACATTTAAAAAAAAAAAAAAGACCACTTCTGCCTTGTCAAAATGTTAGCCGCCTAAGGCAGGAAATTGAATCAGAGTCTTTTCATTGTGCCCCTGGGACCCTATAGTTATGTGACTGCTGTATCTGTTTTACAGCTGTAACTGATACCGTGTCTTAAAGGGTCATATCCCAGGTTTCCTACCAATGTGATTTTATGTTTGTCAGAAATCATACAATTTCATAATTTATCCACATTTATATTTGCCTCGGTTAAAACTACACATTTCACAACTTATCATAATTTTAAAAAAACAAAAGAAGAAATCAAATTAGGTTTAGAATAGTATTATTAACAAATATAGGCTTCTTGAAATTGAAAAATAAAAAGTAGGGGGAAATTATCTAAGGAAGTTCAAGGGGAACTAGTTCTGAATCCACCTCTTCCCTCTTTAAAGGTTAGTATTAGTGATCTTGGAACTCTGCCCCTCAACACCTATTGGTCATTTCATAGTTTTGATCGATTTGTATGACTTCACATATTGTGGTTATAGAACCACATTTATTCTGTGACATGGTATTAAAGAACACTTTCAGCTCTCTAGAGAGTAAAGGAATAACTCCAGGTAGACTCACACAAGTTATGTTCCAGTGAGGTAGCCATACATACACTCAGAAAGTTCTCTATCTCAGACTACTGAATGAAAGAGAAGGTGACAGGCGCTGGGAACAGGCATTAAGTATCTCAGAGAATTGCCTGGTCGTGGCTACCTAGGTCTTAAAGGTGTGTGAAGAATTTGAATAAGTGGCTTGAAATGTGAAAATGAAAAAAATAGTGTATTTTAAATAACTAGTTAATATATGTAGCCAAATTAACAAATTAAAGATTACCAGTAGATATTTGTCAGTTTTCTTCAGATTCTTAAGTGCTTTGATTTCAAATTGAGTGAAAAAAATTTTTTTCTGGATTTTCCCATTGGGAAAATGGAGAAGTGTCACATATTTAGGTGTGCATGACGGACACATTCTGTTAAAGATACAAAGCTGTGACCAGCGTTTTCCCTAGAAGCTAACTAGTGATGGGAAGATCGATTGTTTAGTCTTCTCTCTACTGTGCCTATCTTTCCTTTCTCTAGGAAAGCCCTAGGACTTTTTACATTTCTTGGCATATGTACCTGCTCTCCTTTCAGTTCTCAGTTGCTTATTTCTTCCTTTCTTCCTTGTTACAGCATCCACTTCCTCCCTTCAGTTTACTTGTAGCCCGTCACTGCTGAGATTAAATAGCTGCTCTCGGTGCTTAATGTTTCCCTGGCCAAGATTCTTTACTGGCTTATGAAATAAGTACCAAACCCACTATTTCCCCAATCTCCTCGTAGACTAACAGTTTAAAGAGGTTTCCTCCCTCCTGGTAAAGGTGCTCTGGGCCCAGCAACTGTATATCCTCTCCCTTCTAAGCTAGCAGGCCATCCTACTCCAGTTTTCACCAAAGACCCTCGGCTCTCGTTTGGGCCCTCTGTGGTGGACTGTCAGGAACTTTTCTTAATTTGCTTGAGAATACAAGCCTGCCTGAAGTGAAGAAAAACACCCTGGTGGTATGTATTATACCTGGTGTGGCTTTCCTCCTTAAGAAACAACGTGTGCTTTTCACTCAAAATAAGCGATGTGATCTCCACAACCTTGTGTGAATCAACTCCTACCAATCAATTGCACTTTTTGTTCTTGGGAAATCACTTTATACATTTGATTTGAGAAGGAACTAGATATGATTATGGGTAATGTATTCCAAAATTCCATCTCTATTATCTGTTGTTTTGGTAATTGTAAATTCAGAAAATTAAGGCTTAATTTTTCCAAGAGAAAATTTATACTTAATTGTTGGAACAGCTGTCTCTGCAAGATTCCAATCTGTACTGAGCAGAATTAACATTCCTAATTGTGCCTTATGACGCGATGTGACAAATACTGCATGAAGAAATTTTTGTGTGTGAGAGTATATTCTACTTTCTTTTATTGATTATTTTTCTTTCCTGTGTCCTATAGGGAATGACCCTGCATAAAAAGGCGGCTGAAGATAGACTTGCTAGTACAGGATCAGGGCAGTCATTTCTGGCTAGGCAAAGACAGGCCACCAGCACAAGAAGGTCTTACCCCGGCCACGTTCAGCCAGCCACAGCAAGGTAGACACGTCCTGCCGTCAGCATAAAGGAACACCCTCCGTTCAAAGCATACTTCTGTTACATATGACAACATTTCAGGAAATTCAGCCAGCTTATTTTTTGTCTCGTTTATGTTGATATTTAGTTGTTTCTCATTTGAGGACTTTCTCTCTCCTATAATATTTTAGTTTCTTGGTTCTTTATGTTGTAGTCCTTTCAGTTCCTTTTAATGTGCCAAAAATTTTTAAATGCCCAGTTAAAAGTGTTGTATAATAGTGTAGTACTTTTCTTTGTATGACAAATGTCCTTTCCCCAATGGTGTAGGCTTTGTAATGAATTAGATTTTCTGCCAATAATTGATATACAATTTATATTCTTTATTGTGCCTCTGTGTTACCATGCTTTATAAGAATGTCTTTGTTTAAAGGGAATTAATCTTTTTATGATGTATTAATCTGTGTTTTCAATTGTTTTCCAACGCACTTCAAATAACTTGCATATTTACTATATAAAATGGTTGGCAAGTGCACTTTTTGCAAAGACATAAATACATTGGCAGAGGTGCTAATCAGATGTTACCTAAGGCACCTGATAGATTTATTTAGAAGGGGAAAAATTAAGTTTTCCACATTGTTTTATAGGAAATTAAATTTGTCCAAAGATTTGGAAACTATTTTTAAGACATACATAAAATTTCATTATTCCTTGCTATCTTGTTTGCTGACAGAAGATAATGCATTGGTTAGGTTATTTGGCGGGAAATTACAGAACAAAAGAATCAGGCAGTGCATTAATCTTTTTCTTGTTTTGGAATATCATAGTAACTAAGGATCAAATTCTAGCAACAAGGCTGACATTTACAGTTTCACCCACCCTCCACATCTAAAAGGTTATTTTTCATATACTTAGAAGTAATAGATAGCCTTAGCTTTTGGACAGTTTCCTTGTTGCACCTCATTTTACTTATTCTTGAATATAAATCCTCCCATTTCTCGGTAATTCCTAAACCTAACATCTTAATATCAGTCCTTAAGATCAATAAGTGACTTCTTCTGTGTGATGTTATGACAAGTCTCTTAACATTTTTTTCTGAATTCTATGTACTAGTCCAAGAATCTGCTGCTGAATAGATTCTCTTGGGTATTTGGTTGCCTCAAAGTTCTTAGATTTGTTGACAGATTGTAAACCATGTTCATTTACATTGATGAATGGCTATCAAGTCATAATGATTGTAAAGCACTTTGGCTGTATAAGGTGCTATATAAATGTGAAACAGCATTCATTTGAAAATGAAATGCCTCTGCCTGACTTCCCATATTGACTTAAGTATTTGGTCCCAAATCATATCTAAGTTCCTCTCCAGCCTTTTTCTTGTACCATAGCCAATTTTAAAGCATAAAATTATTGAAATTGGGTTGATTGGTTGCTTGGTTGGTTTTGGTTTCAGATACGTCCCCTAATAAGATTTTATTTCATGTACTTGCTATTTGGAAGTTCAGGTTTCATTTAGTCCTATAGATTAAGTACAAATGAATAACTCTAAATCAAGTTAAGTGTAATTAAGAATTTTCAGAAGCTATATTCACATGTTTGATTTTAAATCCTTACTTTCTTGTTTATAAGAAAATTGGCCTAAAATTAGTAGTGTTTTCATTTGTCCTCCGAAACCGTTCTTAAAGAAAGGTATTAGAGGATACATGGAAATGACTCCATACATTGTGCTCATTTTTTACATTAAGAACAGAAGTTTGAGCGTAGTATGAATGCTTCTGCCTGATAAGACTATAAAACAGGAAGTATTAGTAATAATGGAGAGAACCATATAACTAGAATGCATTGTGGGTTTCAGGAGGCTAAGCAGGCCTCATGAACATGGGCAAATGTAACAATAAAAGATTAAAAACTAGTTAAGATGGTTCTTACCCCTGCCCCCTTATTTCACAAATGACATAAGGACTTAGCTATCTTATTTAAAACAGGGCATGAACACTAACCTTGGTAACTTTAAATTATTTGGAAATTATACTACCTGCAGAATAAGATAGATGAAAATAAAAGTCTATGAGCTCTTTATTAAATGGATTATATCCTATGAGATGTGAGGTTTTAATTCTTAGTTCTCTGTCTACTGCCCCAGTCCTGACCTCCTACCTACCAGGTGCCAAACTTTAGAAGCAAGTTTTACTTATTTTTCTTTGGCATCTCTTGCATGCTGTTATTTTGGTGTTTACATTCATAACTTTCACGCTCCTTTACTGTACCTTTATGGGTTTAGTATGTTACTTTCATTACATAGCAGAAATTATATTTCTGAACATTCTGGTGTTCTTTTAAAAAGCCAGAATAAAACTTAGCTGTAGCAGTAACAGCCCTGTTTCCCTTGCCCAGCTCTCCGCAGGCAGGATTTATAAATTGCTATTTCTCCAGTAATGATTAATAATTTCTCAGGAGGTTTGTCGGGAAGTTAAAAGCCATTGGGCACTTTACCTAGATATGAGCTATACTGTGCTATATTCTTACAGACCCCTTGTATACAGTAGCTTCCTGAAGCCACAGTTTGCTCGTACAGTGGAGCTATAGCTATAGCCTGGCCTCCGCAGTGGAGTAAGTACAGTGTTACCGCATTCGCTTGCGGTGACCCATCCCCGCAGTGTTGAATTCTTATGAACAAAAAGCTTATTTTGTTTTCCTTCTAACCAGGGTAAGAAAATAGAAAGTAAATAACTAAAGAGTTTTAAAGAGTAACATTTATGTTCTGCAGTGTGCATTTACAAAGTTTGTGATCAGAAAAAATCCAACAAATACTGTAGTTTTACCACATAAAAAGAGAATAAATAATACAATTGTACATATCTTAAAAGAGCTTCAAAACCTCAATCATATCATTTGTCTATAATAACCAAGAAAAAGAAGTCCCTAAATAAAGTACCCATGTTCCAAAATTGATTAAGATTGCATTATTTGTATTTGATAGCCCCAACCTGGTAAAATTGGCTTGGTGAGATGTGAGATGAGTAGATTATAATAGGATAATTTTGCATTTGTAATTCTGTTGAAGTTTTATTGTTTTGTTATACAGTAAAGCTCAATTGTAAAAAATTAAGCTACATGTTATCCAGTCAGAAACATTGGCCCTGACTTTGCATCAGTCCCCGCACAGGCAGGAAAATCCACACTGTGCAAGCACAAGTGATCAGTGAAAGATGAGTTAGGCTGAAAAGATCAATTTATTAGCTAGTTTACTCACCTCTCCTTTTCAATAGCAGTTTTGTTTATTTTTGTTAGCTAATGATACAAAGTATTTTCGAGTGTCTCTTGCTCTCAGACAAACATTCAATCTTCTCAAGCTAACACCATGTTAAAAAATTGAAAATCCTTATCCCAAAATGAGAATTATCTGGAAACCAAAATATAAATTTTTAACATTATCTTAACTCTCTGCATTTAATTTTCAATCGCCCAGATCTCAGACTCTGGAATGCTACAGTTCTCTCCAGTTGGAACATGTGAGATTATCTGAAAAAGCACCCATAACCCAAAGCTACCGCACACCCAGCTAGTTTCCAACCCTGAGGGTAAGAATACCATGATTCTAAAGTGAGGGGAAAGTGCTTGGTGTTTGACTTTTTGCTGATTGCAGAATAACAGCCTTAAGGCAAAATGCTTTCTGTTGCCTGTTAAACTATGGAAGGAAACGTTGACTTTTCACCCTTGTGACTCGTTGCGCTGATGTAGCATTCATTATACTTCCAAGTCAAGCCTGTGTGATGCCCTGAAGTAGATGAAGGAGTGTATTTACAAAAGAAATGGGGTATCGTAATCTTTGAAAATTATTTTAGCGTGCTTTTTATTTTCCCTTTTTCTGAGTTGAGAGGGTCATTAGATAGTGATAATCTCTTTTTCTATAGTCCCAGCTGTCAAAATGGCAGCTTATTTTGGTAGTTGTACCACCCAGTTTCATTACATTTAGAAAGTGGTTCCAGAGCTTATTCTTTGTAACTATAATGATCCTAATATTTTATATCATGAAGTTTTTATATGAGGAAGGCTATTCTCAATGTATCTGTCATCCAACTTTTTTACTTTCTATAAAGCATATTTAAATAATAATTGGTGTATGTTCCTTTTATTGAAAATGTCTTATTGTCCAGTTTAAGCACAATAATTTTATTGTCCTAAAGTTTTACAGTAAATAATGTTCATTTCTCAGAACCTAAAAAGCAAAATAATTTGCTGCTGACATAGCCAGTGTCTGCCTGTCCCCATTCCCCCAAATCCCAGAAATACTAATATTTATCTTCCTTTTTATAAAATGAAGGACAGCACAAATGTGATGGCGTCCATCTCTTTTAAATCACTGAATATGTTCCTGGAAAGAATTTCTTGATTATTTTGTTATTAAACAGCCTTTTATCGATACAGTCCAATTCACATGTGGGTTATCTATGAATATAAAAACGTATGAAGTTTATGTTATCTTGAAACATACTTGGATTCCTCACATTGCACTTAAATTGATTGAGAAAGGGACATTAGTTTATTTGAGAAACAAGAGACCTGAACCTAATTATGGCAAGTATATGAGTTTGGACAATTGTAGAGGGTCTATACATGTTTCCTAACAGTTCTATAGCCACAATGATGTGATGTCTCTCTTCCTTATTTTTCTGTTTTCCAATAGTATTCTGTAAGATCGATTTATAAGTGAGCATAAAAATGTGAGGAAGTAACTGAAGGCTGTTAAGGCAAATCCATTCCTAGAAATTAGAATGGATTATCATGATAAGAAGTGGCCTGATTATAAATAAATATCCAGGCAGATTAAAAGTACTAATACAATGAAAACTAACTCTGTCTTAACAAATGTTCCTCAAGTGATAGTTTACATAAAACCTTCTTTCTTACATGATCAGTAAATAAAGAAGAGTAGACAAAAATGTAATTTAGTTTCTAACTGTCCTTCCCTTCAATGGGCATTAGCTGGACATACAATATTAACTATATGTTTATCAGTCGAAGGGAAAGCATCTATTTTTATTTTGAAACTGATACCCATTGCTAAATCTAGGATGGTGATTTGTAGCCATTGAGGATACTTGGATCTGATAAGAAGAAATCTGTGGTAGCTGAAAATTACTACTGACTTTTCTAGATCTGCTGCTTTATCTAGTTTATACACCTTAGGATCAATTTTATGTTCCCCCCTAATTAGACATAGTAGCCCTCTCCCACAAAATTTTGTTTAAATTGAAAGCAGGAGTAGAGATTTTTAAAAATATATTCAAGAGAGTCTTTTATGTACCTGATACGTTAACCACCAAGCTCTGAATTAGATCTTTAGGATCTGAAGATGAAATCATCAGAAAAAGTGACCATAGCCACAAAATATCAGGCCCATAGGGCTATCAAATATCCTTAATTCTACCTACTTGGAGCTTAAAGGAAGAATTAAATACGATGACAAGAGTAATCTCAAAATGAGAAAAAGAAAACTACCAAAGCATGTTGAGGATTTAATATATGTGGGAGACTTCTGAGCCGGTGTTATCACTTTAGAGATCTCTAAGTTGACAAAGGAAAAGATTAGTTTAGCAACTGTTAAAATTAATAAAAGGCATTCATGTTTATTCTTGGTGTATTTGTCAACCTATGGGCAGTGATTACTGTATATACATTCTCCAGTGTGTTTATTTATGTCACTATTAGAGATGAGTGTCTTAATATTATTTACTGTTACATCTAATCATTTATGTATTTATACTTTACTGCAAGATTCACAGCACTTTACTAATATTAGGTAATTATTTTTCTTCGACTTTTCTGTGGCATTTTGTATTTATATCTTTTCTGCTAGGGTCTCTTCCTTATTTTGGAATGCTCACTAAGAAAAACGCAAAAGATCGCCCAAGGAAGTGATGTCTGTACTCTTCCTGAAATGTTTAAAGTGGGATCTGAAAATCTTAAGTCTAGAGATCTATTTGAAGCTGGATTGGGGCTACTAGGCATAAATTGCATTTTATATTTCGCATTAATAAGAACTTGTAGAAGTCAGTACTCATGAGGCCAAGCTCTCTCAAATGCCAACACCTTTGAAACATTTTGTTTTCTGGAGTTATATTAGTAAAAAATAAACAATCTGCTAGTTAATCAGAGAATACCAGAAGGCACTGAGAAGGTTCTAGTCCCATGGCCTGTGTGGTACCCGTTTTGGAAAGACCAGAATAGTCCACTTCCTGGGCTCAGACGAACCAGCCGAATTGTTCTAAGCAGGCCTCCTGATAAAAGGGGAAGTACCCACTGGCCTGATACTAAGTCACTCCTGGTCCTCCCGACTCCCAGAGAGATGGCCCATCAGCCAAGGGGAGTTCGTACCTTTGCTGTGCTGTCTCCTAAAATACAAACCTACAGATTGCCCTTAACTTGCATAGTTTCTTCATCGTTCCCTATACCCAAAGACAGGAGAAAGGAAACCAGGTTCCAGGAGCTATAAAGTCAGAAAATCTGGGAAATGGCTGGAGTTAGTTGACGAGAAAAGATAGGAGAATGCTCCAGAAATATTCTTCATTCTGTTATCACAGGTATGCTTAATGAACTACAGTTCAAAGGTAGCTAAGTTTTCAGCTTGTTCTCTTGAGAGAGATTTTTAGGAATCAGGACTCTTCCATTTGTAACTTAAAAATGTTAGTACTCAAATCATAGTCAAAAAGTGCTGACTTGTAAGTTGTTACGTAAACATTGACACATGATTACTGCCAAAGAATAAGGAGATTTGCTCATAAGAACATTCTCTTAGAGTTTTGTTTTGTGCTTTTACATCAGAAAAATGCTAACTTTACAGTGTGAAAAGTTTCTGTAGTATTTTCTTCTGCATTACTCCCTGTTCTCCTGATGAGCTTTGCTCAAATTAAAGTCACCCAAAAGAGAGCAACACTGAAATCGAGAAGTCTAGACCCTGACCTTTGAGGGAAGAGTTGCTTTGTCCCCCAAAGTAAAAAATTAAAAAAGAAGTATGCTCATACATACACACACATGAGGACAAAATATGATGTTTTGAGTATCTATTAATTTAGTTGTTGGATGGAAGTTCCCTTCTAAATGTCTGTACCATCGAGTGGCTTTATGCTACTTTAGATAAGAGTAGATTCTGGACCTACGTTGTCCAATTTATTAGCCACTAGCCACACATGGTGATTTACATTTAAATTAAAATTAAGTAACATTCAACCTTTGGTTCTCTAGTCACCAACCACATTTCAAGTGCTTGGTAGCCACACATGGATAGTGGCTGCCATATCAGACAGCATAAATTTAGAACATTTCCATCATTGCAGAAAAATGCCTTTTTACAGTGCTATAAGGTCCAAAGAGAAAATAAGGACAAAATAAGGGTTTTCAATTAACTTATAATAACTATTGGGTTTTACTGCCATAGTTGAAGAAAGCTGTTTTTCTTATAAAAATTAATACCAACCCTTTTTAAAGACATTGGGAAATCAAAACCCTATTCTTTGAGACTAGGTTTCAATGTATTTTTTGAAATATATTCTCAGCACTTTACTTTTCAAGTGATAAAATTAAATTTGTTTCATAACTCATAACCTAGCATCTTCAGGCTTTTTCTCCTTTTTTTGTAGTCCTCAAATTGACAATACATAGTTTCTAACACACGAAGAGCAGAAACCAGTGAATGCTTGATTTATTTACAAATAAAAATTGCTAAACATTTATCCTTCTCTTCTGTTATTTTTAACTCTGTATAGATCTAACGAAAGTGACAACAATTTTTTGTTTCTGTCCCTTTAAACATCTCCCCCTCACATCACATTTGATTATCTCCCCCTTAAAAGTACACTAACATCCAAATAATTTTCTTGGTTTTCTTCATACTTCTTGCTCTTAATAACTTGGATTATATGAATTAAGTTCAGTTTCATATACGAAGCAAGTATTTTATTCCAGTGACTTAGTTAATGAAACGTTTTTTAGTATTTATTAATTTACTTCTTAACATAGCGAAAAGGACGTACATGGATGCATCTTTGAATTTTTTAATGAAAATAAGGGACTTAATCATAATTCTTTTGGGTCAGCTTGGTACTTAGTTACTAACTATCCTGTTAGGAAGTCATGATGCTGATGCTTTCCTCTTCCTTTTTAAATGTTTTAAATCAGGAAACAGACTCAATCTAGTAGGTCAAATTCCAAGCAAATTATGAAATTCTTACTATCGTTCAAGTACAGATGGGTAAATGGTGTGATTTAAGTTTGTATTATTATTTTCTTGTTGGCCTAATTTAATATGTGTTCTACAGAGATTCATGTTAGTTACAGGAAATTTTCATTATGCTTGAAATAAGAAATAGTATTTTAGTATAAATACAGGGAAAGACTGTACACAAATGCCAATCAATGATTTGAGGCCTTTTAATTTTTTTGAATAGTAGCCTTTTGTTTTTTAATAGCCTTAGTTATTTAAAATATAGATGCACTAAAATGTCATTGCTGTCACTAACTTTGCTGCGTGCAGGTTATGTGTAATTCAGAATGCTTTGCACCTAGAAAAATAATTTCCAGGGTTATCTTGTTTTGCAGTTTTCATGTTTTGACAATTGCCCCACCATTTATAGCACCCAATTTTTGGCTGTGTAATGAATGGTAAAATTCAAACATATCTAATAATTTGCCTTATTTCGACTGATAAATTCTATCAAAGATTTGAGGATAGAAAAAGGCTTTTTGTTTCCTGTAGTATTTTTTAAACTTTTCAGATAAGCTGGAAAACACCTTAGTACATTGGAGTTGGAGTTGTATTGATTACAGTCCCAGCTCTAAAGCCTTATATTCATGTCTTAAGTATTATGATTGTTCTATGAATTGTTGTTAGTTTCCTATTTGGCATCACAGTTATCCACCTTGCAGTTAAGCTTTGACAAAAAGGATCTTACTAGGTATATTCTTATTTCTGGTCGACTATTGAATTTATAATCTGACTTCATTCTTTGTCATTATAATCGAAAAACGAAATCCATATAGAACTCTAAATTTCTGACTTCACAAATGGAATCGATACCGATTTAACAACGTAGTACATAATGGCATCGAAGGATTTT